CTTCGAGTTGTTGTCCTCAATGGTTCCTTGTTAAAATAACTGAAAACTGTATCCTTGTTTCACCAAAGTTTTTTTAGAAGTTTTTACTAGATTGATATTTATAAAACGTAGCTGTGTAATATAGGTAATTCTTAGTAGGAAATTATCAGTAAAAACAGTTTTATCTTTCATATCAAATTATAAAAAGTATAGTTCAGAGTCGTTCATTTCAGAAAAGTTTTCAGGTTTTTACAGTTGCTTAACACTGAAGTACTAGTTGATGTCTCTAATAACACAACTAATTGTTACCTTTTAAATTCCAAACCATCTGAAAGAAGATCAGAAAGCTTCTGCAATACAGTACTTTGTAAAGTAACTACTCCCAAGTAAACTGAACAAAATAAAGTTGGTAGAAAGGTCAACTGTAAGAGAATGTGGTACAGTAAATAATTGGGCAATAAAATTAGGCTTGAGTAGGCTCGTGAAAAACAAGCAGTGGTTCCTAGGCGCCGCTTGACTAGTGTTTGGTCTAAGATTAAGGTGTTCTGCCAACATATTTGGGTGCGGTGAAATGCGTAAGAAAAGTAATTGTGTAGGCGGTCCGAGTTATGCGAGAAAAAATCTTTAAAGCAGCTGTATACTGGATGAAACCTCGACGACTTTTCTATACCGTCATACACAAATTCAGTTTTTTATGCTAAGTATTGTTATTGTGAAAATTTAACAGGAAATATCCAATACTGAGAAAGTTATATAAAAAGTAAAGAATTTTTTGTTTTTCACTGCTTTGTAAACGAAACACAAAAATAAGGAACAGCGCACCGGTTTAAAACTGCTTGCACAATGAAATTGCAATTCTACCACTTCACTAATAATAAGTATCTTTTCATTCAACTGCATTTCTCTTTATGAACTTCTTAATCCATTTCTCTCCTATTTCAAAATGTATGGTGATTTGTTTAATTAGATTCGATCAGATTTCTCTGGGCGATTGAACACATTTCGCTTTCCCGCCGTCGTTGCGGCGCAACAAAAAAGTACAATAGTGCGGTCACAGGGAGAGAAGAAATGGAGTCGACCAAGCTAGAACGTTGTCACTCTAGCCTACAAGGAACCAAAACCCCGATCAGGTAATTAGCATACACAGTCTTCACCACAAAAAATCTACAAACATGCACTATCAAGCCGGCGCCAGCATGATTCATTTAAAAGGAGATAACGGAAACAAGAGGGGTCCTTTACAAAACACTGCACTTTGGTACATATGTGGTTGAGGAGATTTGCAATTTGGTCTCTGGTGATAATTGCTTTATTTACTGCCATTCATTAATTGATCTAATTTAACTATCATCTACTGAAGGTGAGTAATTTTCTCTTCAATTCTGTGTGCCATAATATTCGTTTTTTTGGTATTCTTATAATTTTACGTTGCCTTGTTAATATCCCTAGGTCACTGTCTAATTTTTTTCAATCCTTGTTTCTATCTAACCATCTTGGTCTCTGTCTCTCATATTCATACGCTAACTTTTGCACACTCCATATGATCATTGTTTCAAGTTCTAATAAAATGATTGAAAATAAAATATTTAAAGGTGCTGTAGTAAAGACGCGGCTAATCAAAAGTATAAGTTACGACTTTAAGTGGCGACCACGGCAGGATAAACTATTCAAAAATCCTTAAGAATCAATTTTGAGACCAATTGAGAATCTAAATCAAAAATTAAGTTTCAAAATGAACAGTATAATTCGTATGGTCCTTACTAAGTTTCAAAAGAGAGCGCTAGAAAATATTGAGGCGGCTCAGGAATTAATGGATTAGGAAGAATAAAATTTGTCTTCATTAAGAAAATTGCAAAAACGATTACAGAGTAGTTGCGATGAATTAAGTGAGAAAAATAATGAGTATATCAGTGCCCAGAATCACGCACCAGAAGTAGCGTCCAGGGAGGAGGAAGTGTATCAGCAGTATACCCAAAAAGACGAAGGGCTCTTACAGGTTATGGTTAAAACCACGGATGCGATAGATAAAATTTGGTGCTTGATTGAGAAGGCGCAAAGAAAAGAAAAGGTAGAAAGCAAGCTGTCTTCAAATCAAGTAGAAACTCAGTCAATTCGTATAAACAAGCGGAACTTAAGTTACCCAAAAGTACGCTGCCCACCTTCAATGGGGATTCCTTGAGCTGGGAAGCGTTTTGGGAAAGTTTTTCAGCGTCCGTAGACTGTAAAGATTTGCCTCCCACTCAAAGATTCTCATATTCAAAAGGATGCTTAAGGAATGGAGCACTAAGCGTTATAGAAGAGCTACCTTTATCCAACGCTAATCATAAAGTAGCTAAGAAACTATTGAGAGCGCGTTTTGGCGATCGAGACGTTATGAGACAGTTAATATATAATCAATTTGGAATATCACCTAGATGCAGTGGTAATACAGCTCAACTACGAGATTTCGCGACAGAAGCAAAAAAGTATTAAGATTGTTAAAACATCAAGGAGCGGTTTTTGATCAGTATTCGATACGCATGCAAACTGAAGCCAAATTGCCTCACTATATTGTAGTAGCGCTTGAAGAAAGACAAGCATGGCAAAAACAGATCAGTGTGCCGCCTAAGGAAGGCGCCGAAGCGGAAACGCTATTAGAAAATCTTAACCAACATCTCAAACTAAGAGAAACAACCATGGAGCCTCATGAGCATTGGGATGCAGACGAAAGAGGAGCTAAAGGCGATAAAAAACCTTCAAAATTTAGTAGACGGTCTTTTACAGTGGCGCCAATTACAACAGGAGAATATAAGGCCCTAAAATGCATATTTTGCTCAAGAGAACATTATAATGATGAATGTACTGCTTATAAATCAATAGCTGAAAGAAAAAAGAGAATTGCAGAGTTAGAAATTTGCTTTTAATGTTTTCGAAAAAGCCACCGACTGTAAGCGTACAGTAGTGTTATTGCTGCAAGAGCAAATTCCATAATCGTGCACTATGTCCAAAAAGAGACGCAGCTAAATTCAACAAAGACAGCGGCTTGTGGATACCAGGAGTACAGATAAAGAAAGCAATCGACAGTGCGATAGCAAAACAGAAGTTGCCGTTCCAGCCAACAATGTAATTCTAAGCGTAAGTACAAATGAGCAAGAAGCTGGTAAAAACAAAGAACTATCCGTCGTGGCAGATGCTTTAGTAGATCAGCAAGCACAAACATTGTTGTTAGTTGCACAGGTACAAGTTGCTAACCCGAATAAAAACAAGCCATATTCTAAGGCAATACATGTCTTTATGGACAGTGGTAGTGAGAAATCCTTCGTTACTGAGGCATTAGCACTGAGATTGCATCTTACACCAATAGGGTATGAGACACTAGCAGTTTATAACTTTGGTAGTTCTACTCCAAAATTTATAGAGTCTGAATTGTATGAGTTAGAGCTCTATCCCCCGCATGCCTCAAAAATAATACAAGTGTATTCAATCCCATCCTTAACTACTGAACTCAGGAAAAGATGCGCAAACGACATGAAGGAGCAAAAGAGAGAGAGCATTAAAATTGACGTTTTAATCGGTTCAGATTATTTTTGATAATTTTTCAAAAATGCTAAGGCGCAAAGTTAGATAATGGGTTGTATAAGATTAAGAGTGGAATCGGTACCTTCTATAGTGGCAAGAAAGGGACACCTATTGAAACGGTAATTAATGTCGCACATACTCAACAATTGAAAACAGAAAACGGTATCATTAATACTGTCCCACTCGGGGTCAATATAGATCAGTTTTGAAGCTTCGAGGGGATAGGTGTTACGAATTGTCCAATGGAAAAAGACGATGATAAGGCCCTAAAGCTGTTCGAACAGTCAGTCAAATTTACCAATGGAAGGTTCGACGTAGGTTGGCCATGGAAGGACCTTCAGCCCAAATTATCCAGTAACTTTGGCTTATGTTGAGGAAGATTAAGAAACTTATTGAGAAGATTAAAAGAATCTCCTAAGATAATGAAAAATTATGACGCTATCTAAAGGCGACAGGAACAAGATCACATAATCGAAAAGGTTACTACTCTTGAATCGGATAACATCATACATTACATACCCCACCAAGTAGTAATTACACTGCATAAGGATACCACCAAGCTGAGAATAGTATACGATGCTTCCGTAAAAAGTAATAAGTCTCTACAGAGCCTTAACGATACGTTATATAGAGGCCCAGTACTGTTACCAATAATGTGTGACATGCAACTAAGAATGCGTAGTCATAAGTACCTTATGCTAGCAGACGTAGAAAAGGCTATCTCACAAATTTTACTTGAAAAAAAAGATAAAGACTATACGAGATTTTTGTGAACTAAGGACTATAATAATAAATTGTCTCATAATAATCTGCAAGTTTATCGATTTTCTCGCATCGCATGTGGAGTCATTTCATCTCCCTTTTTTTTTGAATGCTGTCATTCATCATCATCTTTACAAGTTTGTAAAATTTCATAATGCTGAAGAATTAGCTACCAAGTATTTCTCTGATACCATTGAAAATCTCTATGTTGATAATGTGTTGATGGGGGTGAAAGACGTCTATGATGGATGTGCATATTACAAGATTATGAAAGAGTTAGCCAACGAAGCCCAAATGAACTTGAGAAAGTGAATGTCCAACGTGCCAGGATTTATAGACACTATTCCGGACGAAGACAAAATAAGAGTAAAAATATCATTAAACTATTACGCATTAATTGGAAATGGCAAAGAAACATTTTAGAGTTCAGTGTAGCTAAAATACCAAAACGACCAATCTTTACTAAGCGAGGGGTACTAAATCAATTAGTTAGTACTTACGATCCCTCTAGGTTATATGAGTCCATTAATAACCAAAGGCAGTATCTTCTTTCAAGACTTATACAAAACAAAATCAGGTGGGACTGAAGCGATGTCTACAGCAGAGCAGAAGGAGTAGACACTTATCCTTGATGAGTGGCAAGAACAAAAAGCATTTAAGATCCCTAGGTTAGTAACGCCCGAGGGAGCTGGTTGAAAGGAGCTACACGCCTTTACAGATTCATCACGAAGGTGTTACGCGACAGCAGTATATATTAGAGCTTCAAGTGAAAACCAATGGACCAGTAGGTTAATTTTTGCTGAGGCACGCTTGAGTCCAAGTAAAGAAGTGTCGATACCAAGATTGGAATTATTCGCAGTCCTAATAGGTGTGAGAGCTCTTAAATCCATACATAGGGAAATAAAAGTAGATTTTGAGTTTACCTTTAAAAATAGATTTTGAATCTATTTAGATTGGATATCTTCTGCAAAAACTCTTCCAAAATTCGTTGAGAATCGTGTGAGTGAGATCCGAAACACTGAAAGAATAAAATTTATGCATATAGCCGGTGAGGAAAACCCAGCGGATAAACCCACAAGAGGATGCACTTCTACACAGCTAAGGGAAAGTGGAGCTTGGTGAAGTGGACCATCATGGTTGGCGGAACAAGCCAGTGAGTCTGAAGCGATTAACTGCCAACGCTTAAAGCAATCCTCGGTGTTAACTTCGGTCGCTAAAGAATTACCATCAGTGAAAAGTACCTTTTTCGATCACAGAGTGCTTAAGAACTGGTTTCAGAAAAAAAGAATTATAGCAAACTGTTTGCGATATATCAAGATTTTCCTATGCAACAGACTTAAAAGCCCAACGCATAAACTTAAGTTACAACAAACTGCAAAATTCCAAAATTCGGGCAAAATTACTTCGGAGGACTTAGCCGAAGCAAAAAAAGTAACTGTCAAAAGAGTACAAAAGAAATACTGGTCGAGTTGTTTTGAGGAACCCCACACTGAACAAGCGCAATATCTTATTGACAGATACGGACTAGTAGAACAAGAAGGTATCTTAAGATGTGTAGGACGTATGGAAAACATCTCGGGAGCTTGCCAATCGAACAGCCCGATTTTACTGCCATCAGAAGACAGTATTACTTATTTAATTATTCAGGACATACATCAGAGACTGTTTCATGCCGGAGTACAATTTACACTCGCAGAACTAAGAAGGAAATGGTGGATTCCACAAGGAAGGAGACTAGTTAAGAGAATTATTAAGAAATGTTTCCTTTGCAGAAAATTGGGGAGATAATAGAATTAAAAAAGAATTTTGACGGTGAAATTGTGAGGAAGTCTAATAAAAGAGAAACTGAAAAGGCAATTTGCCATTTATATCCTTTAGAGTTAGAAGATGAGAGCAAAGAGGAGAAAGAAGAGGAAGAGAAAGGGACTAAAGTCTTAGGAGCTCTAGGAGGCAAATTAGGTCGGGTGGGTATTCTTTACATAGCGCAAATACTACTAGTACTACTCATTGCCAGCACCGCGGCGGTAGATACTAGATGTAAGCAAAAGGAAAAATTTTTCTGCGTTACATCACAGAGTTGTGTTTACTCAGGAACAGTAATAAAGAAAAATAATCAAGGACAGTATTGTTGGCAGATCCAAGAATGTAGCAAAGGACATCTAGTGGAAGGGACATGTAAAAAGAAATGTGAGTGCCCAAAGTGAGCGTTAGGATGATCATTTTATAAGGGACCCTTACCCGCCACAACAGACAATTGAGACGAAAACTTTGAGGAATGCTATCCCAAAAAGATATGCGCAGTAGAAGCTTCAGATCATTGTGATAAGATGTAAAACCAAAAACACTTTTATCAAATTGAGCTTGACAATGGAACAAAATTATTGGTAGAAAGCTTATTTTCGGTAAAAAGGCAAATGGAACTAGAAAATTATGCATGTGTAGGAACAGGAAACATAATAAGGACACCAGCATTTTGCGCGAACCATCGTTGCGTTGAGAAGGGCACAAAATTTTGTTTTTACGAAAACAACGAAATCTTCTTCACATACAGACAAAAAAGAATACCAATCAGAGCCTGGGGTAGGGTCAAACAAAAAGTTTATGGTTTTCCAAAAGTGGATGAGCATACAAATTGTAAGATGTGTTCAGCCAATTGTATACAGGGAGGTATAGTTGTGAAGCTAACAGAAAAAGTACGCATACTTGAAATATGTACAGACCCTTATTGCATAGTGAAGAAGTCACCCCAAAATTATCAAGAAATTATGCTTCCCCAGAAGGTGGTAATCAAAGAGTATAATCCAACAATTACAGTTTGGCAAAAGGAAATAGTAACAAAACGAATTTTGTCAAAATGCTCAGCTGCACCATTATGTGAGTTTATCAAATGCTATTTCTCTAAAGAAGCAATTTTAAGCCACAATGCGCTTCCAAGTGAAAATTAGGAATTGCACTAATAACCTTGTACATAATAATGTTATGTTTATACACGGGAATTAAAATAATTAAGGTAGCTCTAAACCGTTTGCTAAGTTTTATTAGACTAATTTTAAAGTTCTCCATACTTGCTTGCAAGCTAAGGAAGGCGAATGTTACTGGTCGTAGTGAGCGTAGTGAAAAAATGAAAAGGTTTTGGAGTGAGACTGAAAGACAAAATTGGACATTAGTCAATTGGGTTGGGATTCCGATAGTCTTAGGAACAGCACAATTTTCAAGCGCCTGTGTAGAACTGGTAGCGTTCAATATAGAAAGCAATAGGTGCAGCATAAATAAAAAAGGCAGCGAGGAGTGTATAGTAGATAAGAAAATAAGAGTATCAGTTTCTCCGCAAGGTCAAGACATGTGTCTCTTAATAAAAAATCCTATGGGAAAAGTGATGGACACAGTCGTAATAAGACTTGACAAAATCAACATCGTTTGCCAAAAAGTTACGGAATACTTTACAAGATTATACAAAATGAAGACAGTATCCTCTGAGAGATGTCCAAGAGCAGATTCTTGTATCAATGAAAAATGTGCAGGAATTAAGACAACAGATAAAGTTCATGAGTCTGAAGGAGAGCTGAATCACAACCTAGGTTTCACACACTGTCAAGAAACGTGCGGATGTGTAGGATGTGGTTGTTTTCTTTGCTCTTCGGCATGTCTTTTCTACAAAAACTACGTATATCCTTTAAGTAACACAGTATGCGAAGTGTTCTCGTGTCCCGTATGGACCTTTTCAGTGACAGCTCTAGTAAAAATGGAGCAACAGCATCAAAATTATGAAGGAATGGTACTAATTAGGGAAGGACAAGACACTAAGCTACGACCCTTAAAGCTACAGTTAGTGAACGTCGATATTCCACAGCTACCACTCCTTCGAAAAAACTTTATGACTCACGGTAGGCAGACAGCTATGTTATCAGCATCGCCAGCTGGGATGAAGTTAGCAGGAATGGTGGGAGCACTACAATGTCAGAGTACAATGCAAGCCGAGGCTGGGCATTGTAAAGCGATTCCTCTGATAAGAAATTGTTCCGAAAGAATCTACACTTATGGCTAACCCTAAAGTGTAAAACAGGTCAATCATTCATGACCAAAACTGATAAAACATCACTACGAGTTCAGAAGGCGTGAACCTAATACGACATATATAACTAGTATTGAAATATAACTCCTGAAACTGCATACTTTCAAAAACCGAAAACATTAGGCGTAGAACAACACACAGAAGAAGACAGCAAAAGTATATGAATAAATTATTGAGTAAAAGTTCATCAACAAATTTGCCATCTATTAAGAAGTTAGAAAACCAAAAAAATACCTAGACGGTACAAATTCTGCTAATAATTACAAAATTCAAGCGATTTC